CAGGCGAAACGTCAGGAGAAAAATTGCCTCTAGAACATGGCCATATAGCCCAGAAAAACCTACAACAACCCATGGATTCTGGCCATGAAAGCCTTCGACAATACAATCAAGGGCCAGTTAACACCTACCAAACAGAGGATGCCTCCAGGCATCAAAGGCCAGGCTCATTGCATATATCCTCACTGATTAATTTTGCAAACTTTATGGCTACTCAAATACTAATTCAACCTTGCTAATTTCAACTGACACATTTGCTTTAAACAGTGGTTCTGTCTCCCACCCTGGGGATTCCAAAGGTATATATACACACAGCCAACAGAACCTCTGAAGATGCCAGCCACAGATGCAGGCAAAACATCAGGAAGGAATGCTGCTAGAACATGGCCATACAGCCCAAAAAGTTCATAGATTCCAACCATGCAAACAAAATGTTATATATCTTATTTTATTATGTGTTATGCTTTTTTTGGCTGTTTTTTCAATCAAAGTTGGATTTAGTTGTGCTTTAACTTTTTATTAAGAGTTTTGATGTTGTGTTTTCGAAGTATTCTATGCTGCCTTGAATCCCATTCTGGGAAGAAATGGGATATACATTAAAGAAATAAACCGAATGTAATTTCTGCTTTGAAGTGTGTTGCTGCACTGTAGAATTAAAGCAGCTTGACACCACTTTCACATTTCAGTGCTATGCAATCTTCAGTGTTGTAGTTTCACAAGATCTTAAGCCTTCTCTGCCAAAGGATGCCTCACCAATCTACAACTCCCAGGATTACAAAGCATTGAGCCATGGCAGTTAAAGTGCTTTCAACCAGCATTCATTCTGCATTTTAAATGCACTCAGGAATATTTGGTTTTTTAGTGTGCAGGCAGTCCCCAAGTTATGAACAAGATAGGTTCTGTAGGTTTGTTTTAAGTTGAAATTGTATGTAAGTTGGAACAGGTACATAAGTGTAGCCCCAGCTATGTTATGGTGTTCGTTTTTCTCTCTGCATCCCTGGTCAGATGATTTCACCTCACTTTCTGTCCCTGGGATATTTGGATTTTGGAAAATATGGCTTGTGGAAACAAGGATTGGTGAGGAAGCTTCAGTGGAGACCCCTTTCCCCCATGATCATAACTCTTTCAGAGAGAATGTTTCCTCCAAGGGGTAGATTTCTCTCACTCCCTGTTGTGGAAATGCAAGGGCTCCTCTCCCTTTAAAGACTGTTAAAAAGGGGGGGTTTCAGCAGGTGCTTCTTGTTGCAGAACCAGGTGACAGTCAGTACCTGCTGACATGGTCTCTTCTATACAACCAGTACAGGGACAGATGCCCTTTTTGTTCCAACAGCCCGATTCAAAGGAACCACAGTGGATTAAACACTTGTGCTGGGTAAACTGCTCACCTGAAGGTTGACAGTTTGAATTCATGAGATGGGGTAATCTCCTGTCTGTCAGCCCCAGCTTCCCATGCGTGGGCATGAGAGAAGCCTCCCACAGACATTGCCTAAGGGACACCTGTAACATATCCAGGTGTCCCTTAGGCAATGTCTCTGCAGACAGCCAGAAGTGACTTACAGTTATCTCACACCAGAAGCAACTTAAAGTTATCTCAAATTGCTTTTGACACAATAAAAAAATGAAAGGTGATATTATCATATGTATTCAATCAAACTATTAATTGTAAAAGAAGGCTAACTTTCTTTCTGAGAAAGATTGTAATATCCTGTTTTCTAGACAAAACTCACACTAGTAAAGTTTGAACCCTCTCGTGATGGAAATACTGATTTCACAACAAGTAGTCTTTATCACAATAAGAAGGATGGGTTGTTGTAGGTTTTTTCGGGCTATATGGCCATGTTCTAGAGGCATTCTCTCCTGACATTTCGCCTGCAGATCTGCCTACCTCACTACCTCTGAGGATGCTTGCCATAGATGCAGGTGAAATGTCAGGAGAGAATGCCTCTAGAACATGGCCATATAGCCCGAAAAAACATACAACAACCCAGTGATTCCGGCCATGAAAACCTTCGACAATAAGAAGGATGTTTTATTATGAGAGGAATGAAGTTGATTCTGTGGTGTGTGAATACTTTCCCCATTATTTTCTCAGCTCCTTTTGCTTCTCTTTGCTTCCCTTCATCTTTCTCTCTCTCTCTGTCTCCAACAGCAAATGTCACTCTGGATCCAGACACAAGGAATCCCTGTCTCATCCTGTCTGAGGATCAGAAAAGTGTGAGATTCGGAGACAAGCCTCAAGACCTGCCTGACAATCCTGAGAGATTCAGTGACCGAATGTATGTGTTGGGACGTGAGGGATTCACATCCGGCAGGCATTTCTGGGAAGTTGTTGTGGAAGGGGAAGGAGACTGGTCTGTGGGAGTGGCCAGGAAGTCTGTCAGGAGAAAAGGCTCTGTTGACCCGGGTCCTGAGGAAGGGATCTGGGATGTGGGCAAGTGGGGAGGTGAGTATTGTGCTACCAGTTGTCCTGCTAGTTCTGATTTCCTGCTGAGTAAAGAGACCAAGCGGGTCCGAGTCTGTCTGAACTGCACATCAAACCAGGTGGCCTTTTACAATGCTGATACTGGAGACCAGATCTGCCTACTTTCAGAAGTCCCATTCTCAGGAGAGCCTGTCCTCCCATTCTTTTCTGCATTTAAAGTCCACCTCAGAATCTCACCTTAAAGCAGGAAAGCCTCTTTCACGGGACGTGTTTCCTAAACCTGGATGATAATAATATAAGGAATTTATTAAACTCTTCTTCAAAAGTGTTTTTAAAGTGAACAATTTTAAAAACATCTTTAATTTTTTAAAAAAATGATTTTATTGCTTGTATTCTGCCATGAAAGCTTTTGAAGAGAATCGGTCTCACATGTTTAATGAATAAACATAAATTATACAGAACTCAAAATATTTTCATTGAGTGAGCCTGTTTTCTATTTCTCCAAAGGCCCTGAAGGAGGTTTCACAAACCACAGTCTTCAAAACTCCCATTGATTCATTAAAGTCTTACTTTTTGCTCTCTTTTCACATAATATACTGTCTCTTAAAGATACAGTGGCACATTAATAAGCCTTTAATATCATGGAATTATCTTGTGAAGATCTTTTCAGAGGGGAGTTGCCAGTGCTTTCCTTCTGAAGCTGAGAGAATGTGTCTTGGCCAAAGTCATCCAGTGGGTTTCCATGGTCAAGTAGGGATTCAAATCCTGGTCTCCAAAATCGTAATCCACTACAGCACACTGACTTTAATTTGCAGATCTAATTCTCATCAGTGATATAAATGGCACGAATCTATATCCTAGGGTTGCCATGTTTCCAAGATAGCAATAAGGGGGGATCAAAATGCTTTGCATCCAAGCACAACAACTTGGGACAGCATTAACAGTTAGGAACTGAGTATTAACTAAAGTCTGTTACTATCAGCTGAAATTGATATTGAGCTCTTTTGTGAGGGGTCTTCCCAAAGGGAGATCCCTGAGGACTGCGCCAAAAGGGTCCTGGAAACCTTGGTGAGAGCCAGCGGGAGCCAATTTCAGCAATAAAATAATTAAAATCAATAACCCTCACCAAAGTGGAAGTTCAGCAACGAGGCAGTTTATTGACGATGCAGCTGCAATTGGATGCAAATGTAGGGATAATTCCACTACAAGCATGAAGATAGGCATGTTACAAGCATTTTTATAGAAGAAAATTCAAAGGAAAATGTTTCAAAATTCCCGCCCGCCCCTTGCCGGCCGGCTTCGCGCTGATTGGCTGATGGCCGAACAGCTGGGAGAAGGCTTGGCAGTCCGCCCCGCTCCTGAGCCAATCAGCGCATTCCTCTCGCTCCTAGGGATGGACGAATCAGGAGAGGGGAGGCGGGACGATCACAAAACAATGGGAAATGATGGGATTACAGATAGCTGGCCGGTTGGAATGTGGAGTATTGTCTTTGGCCAGCAAAGTGTGAGGGTAGCAAACAAAGGTTTTCCTGTTCCTGATGGGCTTTTTTGGGGGAGAATCAACAAGATCGGCGGCAGACCTCAAGGGATCAACGCTGCCCTTTGTGATTTTTAATTATTTTCCTTTCCGAAATCTTCAGGAGCTTCCTTATCTCACCAGACAGGCTCAGAGGGCGAGATAGGGATTGATGATCATTGTGTTATGTAGTTGAACCAATCAACAATTTTGGGTTTCGAGGGAGACAGGAATTTCTTGAGCCTTGCAGCAGCCTTTTGGTCACTTTTGGGGGGCAAAAATCAACTGGAAGGTCGGGAAGCAATTCATATTTCATACAGTATTGTTTTAGGCAAAGATCATACAAGAAAGAATCCCATTCCCACCCCACATCTTCGTTTTTATTCAAATATCGAACTTTATTGTGAAAAGAAAAAAAAGAAACTAGAAATCCCAAGCCCAGGCAGAAGGTCCGTGGAAACAGGGGCGGCAAATGGCCAAATTCATGCAGCGAAAGAGTCCTTTGTCAGGCCGCGGTCAGCAGATGGGTGCTGAGCTGAAAAGAGCAACAAAATCCATCACTCGGTCCTTGGGAACTACAACTCCCCCAAGAGCTGGGGTCCCCTGCTCGGCCGCCTCTCCAGGGTCTCCATGGGGCATCCACAGCAAGCCCCCGGGTTGCGGGGCTGAGCAGGAGCGAGCGGCGGCAGGAGAACTGGGTTGTTTTGCACTGAGCCGGCAGAGTTTGACAAACAGCTGTTTTTTGTCAAAATATATTACTTAAAAGAAAACAATTATTTCCCGGGCGGAGGGGTCCAAAGTGAGGAAAGCGAGATAGCAGTTAGTCTTAGAATTAGTTGTAGAAAAATATGGCACCGAAATGGAGTTAATCCGATACTTTAAGATTTTGTGGATACTGAGATCCGAAGGGAAAGATTCAGTATCCGATGTTTTTTAATGGACACAGATTCTGCCTCCCTGGGACGCCCAGAAGGCATCCCAGGCGGCTCACGGCCGTCTGGAGCCTGGAAAAGGGTTTATTTTATGTTATTGGAGGTTCAGGCAAGGAACGGGACACAAAGTAGCAAGCGGAAAAGTTTTCAAAGTTGCAAAACTCAAGTACCTTTATTAGGGATAAGGTACAAAGTAAGGGGAAGGGAGAGTGAGAGGGAGGCTTGAGTGTAATACTAGTTTTGGGCTGGCTGCTGGAGCACATTTTGTCTGTTGGTCCCAAACTTGGCTCCCAGGAACTGCGGAACTCTCCGCTGCGGTTCAAATTAGCTTGAAGGCGGGGGCCTCTGCCGCGGCCGGTGTCAAAATTGCTCTCTTTGAACATCACTGTTAAAATATGACATGGTATTTGCACACACACACATGCTTGTCTCTCTGTACCTTTGTCTACCTAAATATACATCTGTCTGTCTAATGAAGTTGCTTAATCTTGTCCACAGCTGCATGGTATACGGTATACGGTAAACTCCTGCAGACTCCATAATAATGGTTAATGGAAAAGGCTGTTGTAGGCCAAATCCTATTGATTAAGAAAATATTACTGAATGACAGTGACTCTTCGGTTGTTGTTTTAACAATCTTTAGTGTTTCTAAAAATATTATCCCAATTTTAAAAATATCTGATTCTGATCAACATTAAGTTTTATGAAATTCGGAATGGCATGATAATATAACCACAGTTTGAGGATGCCAGCTGTAAGTGTTGATCCTCCTCGTTCTGATGGGCAGCAGGAGACTTGGAGAGAGACGCCACTAGGGAGAGCCACCCTCCCACAGTCTCCCAGTCCCTGTCTCAGCTTCAGGTCTGTGTGGGCTGCTACTAGTTTGTTCCTATCTTTATGTCTTTAATATTTATTTGTTATGCAACCTTTCTTCTCAATGTTTTCTTTTGTGCACTGCCTTTAAAAACAAAAATAAAGCATCTTTAGCTCATTTCTACCCTTCATCTTTTCTTCCTTCCGAGGGGAGAGTAGAATCATAGAATCATAGAGTTGGAAGAGACCTCATGGGCCATCCAGTCCAACCCCCTGCCAAGAAGCAGGAATATTGCATTCAAAACACCCCTGACAGATGGTCATCCAGCCTCTGTCTAAAAGCTTCCAAAGAAGGAGCCTCCACCACACTCCGGGGCAGAGAGTTCCACTGCTGAACGGCTCTCACAGTCAGGAAGTTCTTCCTCATGTTCAGATGGAATCTCCTCTCTTGTAGTTTGAAGCCATTGTTCCGCGTCCCAGTCTCCAGGGCAGCAGAAAACAAGCTTGCTCCCTCATCCCTGTGGCTTCCTCTCACATATTTATACATGGCTATCATATCTCCTCTCAGCAGAGTAGGCAGAGAGTGCAGCTATTTTGAGAGTAATGCCTGAGTCCAGCATTCAGGAAGGAAACATTGGCATCTCTGGAAAATCTATCTCCATTTTAAGGAAAGGTTTGAAGGTGGCATCTGATGGCATAGTGGCCATTTTGTGCCAGAACAGGAAGGCTAAAGGGAAAAGATTTTTCAAGTAAATGAAAAATGACAATACCCAGGGACAGGTGCATTCCTTGGAAGAAGACAGAAGCGTTCTAGATCAGTCACACATTTTGAGCTCCAGGAGGGAGGAAGATAAAGGCACCTTGTCGTTGCTGCCTCATTTTCAAGCCTTTTTCAGTTGGAAGATCTTGGCACTTTGTTTGCATGAGGCAACTAAAATATTAGAGCGTCCAGTATTTCTGATAAAGCAAAACCTGAAGATGTTTCTCAAGATGTTGCTTTCCAGTGATGGAGGCAGAAACATCGTCCCCACCCAGAACTGGGAGACTGTTTAACCTGGTTTTTCAGAGGTAAATGTTGGATCCTTAGGGGCTTTTAAAGTATTTGTTAGAACTTCCCCCCACACCCTTTGCGTTCCTTTTGTATTGCTCATTGCTTCAGTTCTAGATTAGTTACTTTCCTATCATCGGCTGCAACATGTACTGACTAACATGGAAGTCAGATTCCTGCCTGCTGGAATTATGATGGGCAACAAACCATGGGAGGTCATTTCCGCCTCCCTTGCTGAAAAATCTAAATATTCCTATTTATTACAACATAATTCAACCAAAAGCAGTTTGAATGGGTTTCATGGTTATGTTGTTGAACACAATACCCCACCTCAAAATGATTTATAGTTTCCCAAGGGTGCAAGAACAGAAAAATAAGAATTATAGTTCTTTTTTAAACGTCTGTAGATATATACACATCAGCAGAGGTTCAGAGCAGACCAGCAGCAGTGCTTCCCCACAACGCCTATTTTGTTTCAAACCGTAATAAAATGTATCCTTTCATTTCAGTTTTCTGCCTACCTTATATCATTTCATACAATTTCTATCCCACTGTGTGTATATATTATATAATATGTATAATTTATGTCAAAACATAAGCAGACAAGTCTCAGAGGTCTTCAACCACCCATTTGACACACTTCCTAGAGAGGGAAGGCTGGAATAATCCCACAGCTTTTCCTGGTCAGAGCCATAATCAAGATCCATTGCGTACATCTGTAAAACAGTAAACAGTTTCTGTGTCCTATCTGATAAAGCCAGATGATATTTGGGCTGAGAAATTGCTGAAAAAGAAGCCTAGAATATGCACACTTGTGAATGTCTTTATTTCAAATCCAAGGCTTGGTTGCAGATCACCCTTTGTTCCTAGAGTCTCACACCTTTCCCCTCCCAAATCATTTCCCCATCACCTGGAACTGGACAATTAAGCCAGCTGCGAACTTATTCACATTTCCAAATATGGATATGGATTTTCCAGAGCTTGCTTCTCCCATGGGGACATTCCCAAAGCTGTTTGGCATTCCTAGGATCAATCCCCCATCATCTTCTTTCTGCCAGAGAGTATCACTGCTTGGAGATGGCAACATCAGCAGAGCCCCAGCCAATCAGGACACGCAGCCTCTTTTTTGGCCAATCAGGAGAGGGAGCAAGAGGTCTAAATAGCTGTCAAATATATAATACCTCATGTCTCTATACTCATGTTGTGCTTGTACTTTTGAAAGCATCCACTTGTTCTTGCGTCCTTTCTGGTCAGATTGAATAAACCTCTGTGGCTTGTCTTCACCCTGATGTGTTGTTACTCTGTCTCAGTCGATTTCACTTTAGCCTAAATGCTCACCAGGAAAGGATACTTTTATCCATGGTCATAGATCTAAATTTGACAACAGTTACAGCCTCAACTTTTAATCAATCTATTAATCATTATGTGAACCTGGCCTCCAAAAGGCATGAAGCATGATAAGGAATTAGTTATGAGAACAAAATTGTTGGTTATATTTTTTCTTGGCCTTCCTACAAGCATCTGAGGCAACAGATTATGATCAGCTTCCCTTGTGAGGGTTCTTTCCCCTCTTCTCACTGTTTTGCCATAACCAAAAATGCCCTTTTGGGGTAAACTAGAATTTATTTATTTATTTAATAGATGAATTGATTAATTGCGATTACTGAGGAAAGAACAGCAGAAATCAAGGAAATGCATCTTTCTTTGGAAAAGCTCGCTGGGGAGCCAATTCAGGCAAACTTGAACTTGGTAAATTCAGAATTCAGAAGCAGGCAGCAAGTTTGGAGAAAACCTATCTGGGAGCTTTAAGTAAAGGCTTTAGCAAGGAGTTTGACAAGATTATCAACAGCTCTGGCTTGCGGTGTGTTGGGTTTCATCCCTGGATTTCAGAAATCTTTGTGTCATCAAGTTTCTAGTCATCCATGAGTAGCTAGCCTAGAGGCAGGGCCAAGCTCAGCTATTCCTTTCCTTACATTCCAATGTGTGCCTTTACTGCTAGCTACTGTCTCCTCCCCCTTTTGATGATGTAGTAATGTTCTGTGAGGGAACTTCCTTTTGAATTTTAAATTGGCCTGGGAAAGCCATGCGGTCTTCATCATTTTTTCTTCTTCCTCCTTTTCTTTTTTCCTGTGAAGAAGCATTTTGCCTCTATGTAGGCAAAATGTAGCTGCATTGACTTTTTAATCTTTTACTTTCTTTAGAAGATGGGATTTAGCAAGATAGTTACCTCCAATACATTTCTATCAAGAATGTATTTCTTTTTACTTTAATAAAATTCGTGAACCTAAAGATTGACTCTGTAATCCTCAACCATCCTAAAGGTTAAAAGGCCGTTCCCTCTCAACACATGTAAGTTTCTGCTGGTTATGGAGTTTATTCCTAGTACTTCTCTATTTTGGAGGAAGCACACCTAAATGAGGGTTATTTCTGAGCCTAACAGCTCAGATTCCCCAACAGGGAAAAACTGTAATCTTTACATAGAAATAACAAATTTGTGACTGGGCCATTCTGAGGCACTCTGGTTGTGGCAGCCTTGATATATATTGAAAGGGAAGTGAAGAAGAAAGGTTATGTAAAAAATCTTGGGGCGGGGGGCGGGGATGGTTTCAAAATCCATGACCAAGTATGAAGCTCTTATTGAAGTTCAGTATATCTTTGTTATAAAAACAAAATTTGAATCTGTGCCACTGAATGACCAAATAGGTCTGATAGACCTACCAACAGCAGGAAAGACGGAGCCCCCAGTGTCGCAATGGGTTAGATTTTTGTGCTGGCAGGACTACTGACTTGAAGGTTGGGTTGCTCACCTGAAGGTTGCCAGTTCGAATCTGGGGAGAGCGTGAATGGGCTCTCTCTGTCAGCTCCAGTTCCCCATGCAGGGACATGAGAGAGGCCTCCCATAAGGATGATAAAACATCAAAACATCCGGGTGTCCCCTGGGCAACGTCCTTGCAGATGGCCAATTCTCTCACACCAGAAGTGACTTGCAGTTTCTCAAGTTGCTCCTGACATGAAAAAAAAGCAGGAAAGACTTAGCAATACTCCCCTTTGTGTCCACTACTGATATGAATCAGGCTTATGCTTGCACCAAAACAAACTTGGGAGTAAGTAAGATGCCACCCTGGATTTACGTATAGCTGTTAAGACACAAAGCCCAATTTTGGGAACAAAAATTAAAACAATTTCATTGGCTACTTTAGGTGTGAATTCAATATTTCCCTGTACCAAAATACATGTTTGTGGTTATATGCAATATTTTCTTGTACAAAAATGAAGGTTTGAGCTTATATTTCCAAAAAATTCTCTTTATTTCTAAATCTACTACATTACATGAGATACTCAAGTAGTAGGTGTAGATGAAAGAAGGAAGAAGTTTGTGGGTTCATAATGCTTTGTAAAAACCAGGGACAAAATTTGGGGGGTTTTGTGGGGGGGGGGTCCTCTGAAGGTTTTTAATGGTAGAAAAGGTTAGGGAAGAATAAAGTTGCCAGTTTATGATGTAGACAGGAAGACCTAAGTAAATTTAGGATGCAGACAGGAAGAACTAAGTAAATCTATAGATAACACCCTCATGAGAAACTTTATAAGTTGCAGCAGCAAATAAAATATACTTTGCAATTGTAGCAAGCTTCTGCTTGTAGACCTGAGAAGGAGATTTACTTACAAGTCTTTTCATCTTGTCTGGAGCCAAGCTACTCCAAACTGGAGACTCAGCTCTTTGTCTCCTGCCTTAAAATAATCCAAGAAAATAGAAAATTTAGGGGCCTAACAATCTCATGTTAAAATGTTTTAACTTATATGCTGGGCTTCAAAGGATTTTAAAGGCAGGATTAAAATAGACTATTAATAAACCATATAATGATTATAATTGCATGTGGCATTGGAGGCACTGGCAGATTGCGAGGAAAGTGCTTTAAATTCATAAACACACTTATGCAGCAGCTTTACTAGATCCCTGGTGCCTTGTTTTAAAAAGGAATGTTCTTTATCTAGAAACATGTTCTCCAAGGTGTTCCCTCCCTGTTAAGTGCAGATGTTGGCATGCTGAGGGAATCATTTACAGGGAATGCTCTGCAAGTAAATACAAAGGAGAGTGAAAGTAATTGCATTATTTGTAAGTCAGACATGGCTGCTGCTCCAAGGGCACAGGATCTCTTGCGGGATCTTTGTGAAGAAACTAGTTGTTCTGTTTGCCTGGATTATTTCAAGGATCCTGTGATTTTAGACTGTGGGCACAACTTCTGCAGAGCCTGCCTGACCCAGTGCTGGGAGAAGTCAGGCAACCCAGAGACCTCCTGCCCTCAGTGCAGAGAGATCGTTTCACCAAAGAACCTCAGGACAAATCAGCAGCTAGCCAATATTGTAGAAATAACAAAGAAGCACAGTTCTCAGGGGCCCAAGAAGGCAAAATGCAAGGAGAGAGTCTGTGAGAAACACCAGGAGCCTCTCAATCTTTTCTGTACAGATGATGAAACCTTCATTTGTGTGGAGTGTGACAGATCCAAGGAGCATTGGGATCATCGAAGGATTCCTCTGGGAACAGCTGCTCAAGAGTACAAGGTAAGAAACTCTTGTGGAGTTGGAGGAGGTAAGGAAATGCCTTTGAAAGCTTCCTGGGGACTTCTATGAAGATGCACTTCTATTAGAAATTCTTATTGCTGGGCTCAAAATAACAATTTATTGTCTGAAGTAGGCCATAAATTAACCAAAAAGGTCTGTTGAAATAGGTATGCGTGATGGTAAAATGGAATTTAGTCGCCTTTGCTTCCCACCTTTTATTAATGGGTTAATCTGGCTAGAAGCCTGAAAATTATAGGATTTTTAGTAAAATTATATCTCTCTGGAGGGCACCAAATTGAGATAGTGAAAACAAAATTTCTCCCTGCACGATAGACTGCCTTGTAACCGTCTTGAAACACTGCTAAAGTGGCTGCCAGTCTGTTCTTTTAGCACATCTCCTGGGAAAAACTGGAGTTTGTTTATAAGAAAAGTGTCCTTCCTCTTATAAAAGTAGATAAAAGTATCTGTATTGCTAATGTGGTTATTTCACATCTCATATTGTGTATGAAAGACCTCAAATTGATAAACCAGGAAGGGCAAGGGTCTGGAGCACACGTAGTCGCTCTCACTGCTCCAAGGATCTTGTCCACATCCTCAGGCTGAACAATCCATCAAAGCCATACAGACAGATGTGTCAAGAAGCACAAGACCTCACAACCTCTGAGGATGTTTGCCATAGATGCAGGCGAAACGTCAGGAGAGAATGCTTCTAGAACATGGCTATATAGCCCGAATAACCTACAACACCCCAGTGATTCCAGCCATGAAAGCCTTCAACAATACATTGACCTCACCATAAATTGTAATTTCTAACCCATTTTATAAGTAATCTGTTTATGGCTCTAAAGTTTTCTAGTAACTTATATTTTAGTCCCAAAGAGAAAAAGACAGACACTCCTGCACTGTACATAGTGGATGGCAGTGGGCAAACATATTTTTCAACTGCTCACTTTCTATCTTTCCATGGAATCATAGATTTGGAAAAGACTCTCCAAGTGCCACTCAGCCCAACCCCCTTCCATGTAGGAACAGATGAACAAGGCACTCCTGACAGATGGCCACTCCATCACATTTTGAGGCAGCAGCCTATTCCACTGCTGAATAGACCATCAGGAAATTCTTCCTAATATTTAGGTGGAGTCTCCTTTTCTGCAATTTCAATCCATTGCTCATTGTCTCCTAGTCTCCAGAGCAGCAGAAAACAAACCTGAACTTTTTCAAATTTGGCATCCCTTCAAACATTTAAACATGGCTTTCATGTCCCCTTTTACTGTTCTCTTCTCTGAGTGAAACATAACCGAGTTTCTCCTCATAGGGCTTGGCTTCCAGACTTTGGACCATTTGCCCCTCCCTGCTCGCAATCTCTGCACACGTTCCAACTGGTCAATATCCTTCTTGAATTGTGGTGCCTAGAGGTGGACATAGTGTTATTCCAGGTGAAGCCTGGCCAAAGCAGAATGTAGTGGTACTATTACTTCTTCAGATCTAAGTAATGTACTCCTATTGATGCAGCCTGGAATCGCATTGGCTTTTTGAGCTGCCTCATCACACTGTTGATCCATATTGAGTTGAATTCTGCTAAGACTCCTAGATCCCTTTCATATGTACTATTTTCTTTTTTCAAATACAACACAACAGCATACATATAAACATACTTGCACCATAATGACATATGTATGGGTTGTTGTAGGATTTTCGGGCTGTATGGCCATGTTCTAGAAGCATTCTCCCCTAAGGTTTCGCCTGCATCTATGGCAGG